GTGGGCTCGCAGATGCGACCTCCAACTCGCACCTGCGCAACCTGCCTAGCCCAGCATTGCCCGCACCTGCGAACTCCCCATGCGCACGAGCGGCCTCGCACCTGCGACTCTTTCTTCTGCAGGTGCGAAAATAGCAGTAGCATCAGCTTCAGCTGCATTTTCCAACTCCGCCAAATCCGTTAACCACCCGGAATCACCCTGAGGCCCTCGGGACCTTTACCAAAAATACCAACAAGTCATATATCAACATACCAACTTAGTCGAACCTTCGAATCACTCAAAACAGAATCAAATCATTAAATTACCCACGGATTCAAGCCTAAGAACTTCTAAATTTCCAAATTCGGCAACCGATGCCGAAACCAACCAAACCACGTCCGAATGACCTCAAATTTTGCAAACACATCACAAATGACACTACGAACCTACTCCAACTTCCGGAATTCCATTCCAACCCTGATATCAAATTTTCCACTGCCGACCGAAATCGCCAAATTTCCAAATTTAGCCAATTCAAGCTTAATTCTACCACAGACCTCCAAATCACATTCCGGACGCACTCCTAAGTCCAAAATAACCTAACGGAGCTAACAGAACCATTAGAATTCAAATCTGAGATCGTTTACACATAGGTCAACATCCGGTTGACTTTTTCAACTTAAGGTTCTAAATAAGAGACTGGTATATCATAATATAGCTTAAGAGCATAAAGGAAACAGAAATGGGGAAAACGGGGCTATAACTCCCGAAACGACCAGTCGGGTTATTTCATTCCCAAGCAGGACATGATCGCCGTAAATATCCTTCAGCTGGTTTGGGAAGCGGTGGTAATTCAGCTCCAGGTGGGAATTCATCCAATGATCCCAATTATCAAGGATAAACGTAGTATTTTATTAAAGTAATTTTGTTGTACTAAATTTATGTAAATGTTCAGGCTGCAAAATGTATGAAATAAAATTATGTTTCCAATGGGGTTAAATCTAATTGATATTTAGAATTTAAGATTCAATACAACAGTTTAACATACACCCCAAGGAATAAAAAATAATTATCATTCGCCATTAGCATCGCTGTCTGGCACTATTTCATTGTCACCGTCTTCATCTTCTTCGTCAATATCTTGTACGCACCCTTTGGGACCAAGGGCATCGTAATCTAGGCCCCAGTTGACATACATTTCTCTTATTTCATCGTTATCATCAATAAGACCACTTGCTTGATTTCTACAATAATATGGGACTCCTACGTCCAACGTCTGTGGTAAAAACTTAAGTAGTCCCTCCCACTCGACAACTGTTGGGAAAACAGGATAATCATTGTCTCTATGCAATTTTTCATTTTCTAATAAATCTCAGTGCTGATCCTCCGTTGCTTCGAGGTAGTTAAGATCATCCATTGCATGATGAACAGCAATTGCTTTTTCCATCTCTAGAATCTCCTTCATCAAATGTCGAATCACTTCTGGTTCATCTTTGTGTGTGTTTGTTTGGAAGGTTGGAGACAGTGCTTGTGGTACAAGAAGCCCATGCCAGTGACATAGTACTTCATAATCACATCGTTTTGAGTAAAAGGGAACCCATTGTAGTTTTTCGCCCTAAATTTGCATAATTTCAGGCTTTATAGAATGCGTTTCTCCCTCAATAATGTGCCTTGCAACTTTGAGATAAGTGTGTATATTGATAGACTTATTTTTCGAGGGACGCAGAACACCATACCACTTGTCATCAACAAAATCAGTATAGAAACCTAGCATATTATTTTAAGGTATGGATCGATTGTGTTATGACGTGTTCCATTTGGATCTTTTGAACTACCTTCACCTTTTTGCCTCTTCGTAAATCACTTATTAAATGTTAATGGAATTTCTGAATTGGATGTTGTTCTGGTTCTTCAAATGGTATTCGAATATTAATCTCTTGGTTCAACTTAAGAATAACTAAGCTGCATGTCGACCTTTAAGAATGTGAAACATAGCGTCTCGCCAATATGCGTTATATGTATTATCATGTCGACCTAAAAAAGTTGTCGGCCTGAAAAAGCTGTTGACATGAAATGCTGGACCCACTTGTACTCGAATTAGCCATTATCACGCGAAACATAGCGCCTCACCAATATGCGCTATGTGTATTGTCATGTCAACCTGAAAAAGCTATCGGCCTGAAAAAGATGATGACTGTACTGTAAAAGTTGGACTCACTTGTACCCGAAAGAATCATTATCACGTGAAATATAGCACCTCACAAATATCTGTTATGTAACATAAAATTACTCTTAGCTGCCTAGAAACAAACTCGCACATTTTAGTTATTATTTGAGTCGTAACGAAACGAATAGAAAAACTTTTCAATAATTTTCCAATTTTGAGCATTACGATATGTTTGGACGCAATTACATACCAAGGTGTTACTGTGGCAAACGTGCGATTTTGAAGCCATGTTGGTCAAATTGCAATCCGGGGCACAGATGTTGGATGTGTAAACAAGTTGTAAGTTATTATTCTTGGAAGAAATGTTTGTTAATACTTTTTATATAACATGTTAATTAATAGTCTTATGTTATTCTCTCATTGGTAGGACGAAAATAAATGTGATTTTGATGAATGGTATGATGAACCCATTAATCAGGAATACTACAAATCATGTTTGCTAAACATTTGGAATCTGACCGGTGAATACGAACTCTGGATCGTGAAACTACAAGAACAACCTGTGGCATTGCAGGAGAAACTAAAAGAGGCAGAAGAAGAAAAAAATAGGTTGGAGGAGAAATTTAAGTGGTTGAAATACAGAATAATGGGCGACAGTGACTAAACAAGCACATTGATGCGTTGAGTATAGTATTTTATTTTTATGTTGTACGTATCATGTATTATCTTTAATTTGTAACGAATTTAAATTTTATGTTAAGTTGTCATTTTTTTTTGTGTTCTAGTGTTAAACTAATAAATATCTCGAGAAATAAAACACATACGCAAATTATGTAAAACATAAATAATGTTGTTATGATATATTTAATGTCATATATACAAATAATAATAATAAATGTCAATGTGTCCCACAGCCTATATGCTTTAAAGCATTGGCCGGACTGAGGCGCATCCCATCCCTCTCGGCTACGCTATCCGGATCATCCTTATCACGTCGCCTCTTTATCGGAGGATGCGTTGCAGTATGATCGTCTGGCCGGCAGTAACCTACAGAATAAAAGAGATTTTAATATACGAAATAATAATTACTAATCTACGTGTTAGGGAAAAACGTTTTAATGGTCATACCATGGTCTTAGCGGGCTCCTGAATAAGATCATCCGTCTCCGGCATCTCAATATCGCACAATGCGGCCTCCGTGACGGGCGATGTCGATGTCTTTAAAAAAAATAAAAATGCTTAAGATATTACTCACTAATCAAGGAGATAAAAACAAATAGAAATAATAGTAATACAAACAAACCTGCGCCTGAGTAGCGCCGCAAGGCTCTGTCGAAACATCATTGTGCACTGTAGTAGATGAAGTATATGCTAGATCCTCAGCATCCCTCGGTGATGAGCCATAACTCAGTCGTCGCCCACTATGTACCTCTCGTGTCGGACGAGAATCAGCAACCGTCGATGGCTCTGGGGATCAGGAAAATATTGATCCCACTCCTGTCGTGTAATGGTTGTGCCCGCGATCAATAATGGAGCTGACGGGGTCACATGTGAAGTCCCTGGAGACAATTGAAGGCTGAATGACGGCATGTCATGATGAGCATTGTATGGATCAGGGTGGTCACTCGGCTGATCATCTCTAATATCGTCCATGGGTACCTCAACGCCCCCTTGCTCAGGACCCCGTCCTCGCCGACCACCACGACCTCGTGAGACTCCCCTTCCTCTCTGCCCATGCCTACAATGTATACCGCGTTCAGGCTCCACTGGTGGCCCATGATGGTACTCCTCTGGCGGCACATAAGTAGCCTCGTATCCTAAGAAATCACCATCTCTGGAAAGATCAGTATCCCGACGACCAAACCCGTGCAAAGTTTCCACTCCCTCACCGGTATACTGCAGCATCTGTAGTCCTAACTGGTAGAATTGATGTAAGCCAATAGCCTGCATAACATGTAAAATATTAATTACTTAAGGCCAATGTAACGTTATAAGTAAGTATAACAAATAACATACCAGTGCCTCATGCCTCCATTTGTATGGAATGTATCGACCACCAGCGCGATGAACGGAATTCCCGATGAGAAGTCGGGTAACGCTGCGATACCAACCCATATACTCATGCTCGCCATCTGTATGCTCAGGTGGAGGGGTAGAGGAATCAGGTCATACCTCTGGTCCCAAACCTCAATCTGGGCCTCTAGCCATGCCAAGTATGTCTGGTCAACCCTGGAACGATCATCACACTGGTAATGTGTCATAATCTAAGTGGGCGGAATAGCTATAAGTTACGGTAGAACAAACTGGCGTAGGACTCGCTCGGTGGCATCATGCTCGACAATATCGAGACATATCAGTGGGATGGAAGAGCACCACATAGCTCGGCCACGGGAGCAATAATCGAGCAAACCAGCTATGAGCGCATCGCTGTATGGCCTCTATATGAACTATTAATTAAACACAGGAATCGTCAGTAAACGTAACACATATAAATCCAAGCCAAGTAAACATAAGTATACATGTACCTGCGTGCCTTCAATCAAATCCAACAAATCCCTGTAATAGGGGAGATGATGCCGAGCCTCGAACTCGCATCTGTAGCCTCGCCTATCAACCCACCTCCAAGCAAATGGGAGAAACGGTGGAAGTGGTGCATCCGGAGCCATCGGTGGTAGGGGTGGCTGGAACTGCAGGAACCGCTCCCAAGCTCAAACCTAATATAGATTGTGGACGTAAGATTTAAGGTATTGTTTTACTATGTATATTATAATCATGAAAAGAATTGACTATTTTTCACCTGCAGCGGTCAAAATCCGGCAACGTCTCTCTGGGTGTCCTTGCACGCCCGGCACATCTACCTATACAGGTAACCTAGAACAGCTGCACCCCAGCTGTAGCTAGGTAAATCATCTAGCCGCTCCAGATGATGTATAAATCTCAAGCTGGCTAGGTTTCCCGAAGTGTTCGGGAACAGTACACCACCAAACATCAGCAGCAAAAACAATCTCGTGTGCCAGTCAATATCCTCCGCCGGTGAATCATCTGTAATCTCCACATTCATCTCCACCAGATGTTGCCGGACGGGCGTCAGCTGCAATCGACTCGCCCCACTCAATGCGGTCTCCTCCGCTGGCTGGAAAGCGGTGAGTCGCTGTAACATATGCAGGTAATGCACTCCCCATATAGTCTCTAAGAGCATCTGGTTAAGCTACAGGTAATCCATCAACTGGCAGCCCGAAGAGAATCTCCACATCCTCAAGCGTGATGGTAGCCTCGTCGATGGGTAGATGAAATGTATGCGTCTCCGGTCGCCACCGCTTTATCATAGCCGTGATCAACGCCCAATCGAACTGCAACTGGCTGATCTCTATGATCCTGTAGAAACCCGTATCCTGAAGGCGACTAACTATATAGGGATAGAGTGGGTGGTCCCTAATGAACTCCCACATATCGTCTATACGTCTGGGGCGAAATATTTGGAACAAACACTGCCCATCCCAGAGGTATGAAGAACTATGGTTGCCCTGTAGCAACAGTAGCTCTCAAGATGCAGGTCCAGGATGCATAGGGGGAACCTCCATGACGATGTCTGTAAATTGAACAATATTAATTACTGTATTCTTCTCTTTGATTGCTTAACGTCTTTAAATATATTGCAATATCTTTTATATAAATATTTAATCGATATTTTTACTATATTATTACTTAAGTTGATACATTTTCTATATTATTATTTTATATGTTAGGTTGTTATTTTATATATTAGTTTATTATTTTATATGTTAGTTAATTATTTATATGTTAGTTTATTATTTTATACGTAAGTTTATTATTTTATATGTTTGTTTCTTATTTTATATGTTAGTTTATTTTTATATGTTTGTTTATTATTTTATATCTTAGTTTATTATTTATATGTTAGTTTATTACTTTCTATATTTGTTTCTTATTTTATATGTTAGTTTATTATTTTATAACTATACATGATATAATTAATAAGTATTCATGTAAAAATACTTAGTTTGATAAATATTATTATTTTTATGTTATTTTCTTACATTTGTTGACTAACATTCGAGAGAGTTTGTGTTTGAACTTTCAGTTTTTTTCAAATATTTTTGGGGTTAACAGATAATTAAATGATTAATTTTAATAACTACAAAGATAATACGCTAAAGGGCACTACATTTTACTATGCTAAAGGGCACTAGATTATAATTACGTGCACTACATTATAATTACGGGCACAACATAACACTAACGGGAACTAAACAACAATAAAGTCGCATATTAATATATATACAGCAATAAAATCTAAATAACATTAATTATTCATAAAATAATAATTTATCAATTTTACTAATCTTTTAGCACATAAATAATCTAATCCGGATAAAAATAACAAATTAATTTAATCACAAAATAATCACGAAAATACATATACCACAATAAAAAACAACTAATACACATTTTTTATAACAACTAATCACATTAATTATTCATAAATAACAATTTATCTATTTTACTAATTTTTTTGCCACAATAATAATCTAATCCGGATAAAAAATAACAAATTAATTAAATCACAAAACTATCACAAAATAACATAGATCACAGTAAAAAAAACAACTAATACGCATTTTTTATACATGAGTTTTAACAAAAAGTAAGTCGAAATACCTCGATTTATAATTTTTTGAAAGGTGAGGATTTGATGATATGGGGGCCGAAACGAGCAATCCACTACGCGATAACACGTTAGATCCAATGTAAGCTTGCTATAATACCGAGAAGATACACTTTTTGTGGGACGAGTTGTAATGACTCGGCCGGTCGTTTTTAGTGTATTAGCCCTGATCCCCTATTTATTATTTTTTCCGTATCTGTTTTTGCTTAAGTGACTTGCCGGGAGGTCTTGTTTTTGGTTTCGGAGTGTTTCGGGACACTTAGTCCCTAAAACGGAAGTTTAAATCTCAGAATTTTGACCGTAGTCGAAAGTGTGTGAAGACGACTCCGGAATGGAGTTCTGTCAATTCTGTTAGCTCCGTTGGGTGATTTTGGACTTAGGAGCGTGTCCGGACTGTAAATTTGAGGTTTGTAGCTAATTTAGGCTTCAAATGGAGAAAGTCGAATTTTGGAAAGTTTTATCGGAGGGTTGACTTTTTGATATCGGGGTCGGATTCTGACTCCGAAAGTTGGAATAGGTCTATAATATTGAATATGACTTGTGTACAAAATTTGAGGTCAATCGGACGTGGTTTGGAAGGTTTCGGCGTCGTTTGTGGAATTTGAAAGTTTAGAAGTTCTTTAGGCTGGAATCTGGGTGTAATTGGTGTTTTGATGTTGATTTGAGTGATTCGATCACCAGACTAAGTTCGTATTATGTTTTAGGATTGGTTGGTATGTTTGGTTGAGGTCCCGGGGGCCTCGGATGAGTTTCGGGTGGTTAAAGGATCATTTTTTGCCTTGGTGAGATAACTCATATCTGTTGCTGCATTTTTCTGGTTTCCTCTTGCGCGTTCGTGAGAGGAGACTCGCGTTCGCGAAGAGTGTTTCTGAGTTGGTGAGCTTTTGCTCTACGCGTCCGCAAAGGAGAGGACACGAACGCGAAGGTATGGCACTGTATGCCTCGCGAACGCATGAGTTGCTTCGAGTTCGCGAAGGGGAGTGAGGTAGCTGGGGAACCACAGTCTTTTGTTCTACAAGTTCGCGAGGTGAGGGACGCATTCGCGAAGGTCTGATTTTGCAAAGCTTCGCGTTAGCGAAGCGTAGGTCGCGTTCGCGAAGAGTTAAGTTGAGAGGCAATCGGAGTTGGTCTACGCGAACGCGAGAGGACGGTCGCGTTCGCGAAGAAGGAAATCTGGGCAGACAGTATTAATTTCAAAAACGAGGGTTTGAACCTAATTTGCATATTTTGAGCTAGAGAACACGGAATTGGGCGATTCTTAAAGGAATTTTTGTGGAGTTGATTGGGGTAAGTGATTCCTATTTGGTTTTGGGGTGAAAAATTGAGGAAGAAGATGAAGTGTTCTTGAGTTAGATTTTTGGGGTTTTGAATGGGATTTTGTTATCGGATTGGAGTAAATTTGGTATGGTTAGACTCGTGAGTGAATAGGCTTTCGGGTTTTGTGACTTTTGTTGGATTTCGAGACGTGAGCTCGGGACCGGCTTTTGACCAATTTCGGATTTTGGCTTGTAACTTCGTATTTTTCTTATGGAATTGATTCCTTTAGCCTATATTAATTATCTCGTACTTCTTGGGGCTAGATTCGGGGCACTTGGAGACTGATTCGAGGGTCAAAGGCATTGCGGAGTAGAATTTTGCGCGGTTTGAGGTAAGTAACAGTCATAAATCTGGTTTTGAGGGTGTGAAACCCCGAGGATTGGTATGATGTGAGTGTTTGGAGGTGACGCACATGCTAGGTGACGGGCGTGTGAGCGTGCACCGCGAGGGATTGTGACTTGGTCCGTCCCGTGTGACTGTAAAGGCGAATAGCCATTGTTATTACTTGTTTTTCCTTGCCTTTGAGAAATTGACTGCCTTTCATGTTAGAAACCATGCTTAGGCCATATGATATCACTGTTGGGACCCGCATCGGTCGTATACTTGTTGAATTGAATGCTAATTATTGTCTTATACTCAGTCATAGTCTTACTTGTGTCTTATATCTCTGTTCCCTCTCATTTCTTGTTGACACTTGTTGTATTCTCTGTTGGGGCTGATTATTATGATATTCTGTGAGCCCGAGGGGCTGGAGAGGTTAGTGACTGAGATAGGGCCTGAGTGCAGAGCAGTGAACTATGTGAGGGTATATGGATCGGGTTGCACGCCGCAACGAGCCTTATGGCTATTTATGGACTGTGGATCGGGTTGCACGCTGCAAAGAGCCTTATGGCTACTTATAAGATTGGGTCGGGCTGCACGCCGCAGCGATATAGCGCTTGGGCTGAAAGGAGTCCCTCCGGAGTCTGTACACCACCAGTGAGTGCAGGTACCTATTGAGAGTGTGTATTGAGGGCTGAGAGCCGAGAGTATGAGCTTATGAGATGAGTTGAGTGATTGTTGCCTTGAGAGGCTGTACTTGCTTTTTATTTATTGTTGCACTTAGTTGCTATCCGATGCTGTTGTGAAACTTCTGGAAGATTCATATCTGTTTTACTTGGGCTCGAACAGATTTGACTTATGCCCTTGGATTTGAAAGCATGTTCACTCTTTACTGAAAACTTTTGATATGAACTGTATTTTTTATAGCTCGTCACTGCTTCTCAGTTCCTTATTTAATTCAATTACTTGCTGAGTTGGTTGTACTCATGCTATACCCTGCACTTCATGTGCAAATCCAGGTGTGTATGGTTCTGACGGTTGCTGAGTTCGTGCGCGGGCTGATTATCGAAGACTTACGAGGTAGCTGTCGGCATCTGTAGACCTTGTTTCTCCTTTCTTATTATCTTTTCTCTCTTGTATTGGCATTTGGCACAGACTGTAGTAGACTCTGTTTCTATATCGGCTATTAGATGCTCATGACTTAATGACACCCCGATGTCGGGCTGTTTTTCCGCACTTATGTTTTATTTGGGTTTTACCCCCGCATTTATGAGAAACTCCGGTTATTTTAAATGTCTTAATTCATTTTTGTTAAATTTTGAAAGTGTTTTGGAAAGGTCGGCTTGCCTAGTATCGCGATAGGCGTCATCACGACGGGTTAGGTTTTGGGTCGTGATAAGTTGGTATCAGAGCCTAGGTTACATAGGTATCACAAGTCATGAGCAGGTTTAGTGGAGTCTTGCGGATCGGTACAGAGACGTCTGTACTTATCTTCAAGAGGCTTCAGAACCCTTAGAAAACTCCACATTCTTGAGTTCTTGTCGTGCGAATCTGTTGACTCTAGTAACTAAACATCTGTTATTTCATTCTCTTACAGATGGTGAGGACTCATACTACTGGGCAGGATGGATAGCCACCAGTACCACTAGCCAGGGCCGCGAGAGGCCGAGGTCGCGATAGAGGCCGAGGTTACGATAGAGGCCAAGGTCGGGGCATAGGTGCAGCCCGCACAACAGCTGGGGCAGTTCTTGTAGATCCACCAGTTGCCCCAGATCAGGACCAGATTCCAGTTATTGATGCACCAGCTCAGGCACCACCTGTGCCTATTGTGATTTCAGGCCTTAGCTCAGATTATGACCGCGTGTACCAGTCTTGCTCATGCGGTCTCTGTTCCGGCCGTAGCAGCCACTTCTCAGGCTCAGACTCCCACGGCCCACACACCAGAGCAGGTGGTACAGGGATTCCAGACACTGGGGGCACCACCAGCCCAGCCGATTACAGCTGCTCAGGACTATGTGATTCCTGTTATGCCTGAGGATGAGCAGCGTAGATTAGAAAGGTTTGGGAGACTCCAGACTCCATCTTTCAGTGGTACCGAGGTAGAGGATTCACAGGGTTTCTTGG